GAAAAAAGGAAGAAAACAAAAGATAAAACTAAGAACTTAATCCAGGGGTAAAAGGCTACTGTTGGAAAAGAGACTACAGAAGTGGGAAGTTAATTAATGACAACAACAACAAAAGAATATCCCCTAGAACTGTGTTTTCACAAAGTGCCCATACAATGAATAAACCCCACCCATCAAAGCCCCTTGGACAGTTTTAGAATACTAGTGATAGACAGATCATATCATATTCCAGAGAGAAAAAAGGTAAAAGAAAACAAAACAGGTTACATAATGGTTATGTCACTGGACTCCCACATGGCCGACCATGGTTCGAGTCCTAGACCCAGTGGCTTGAAACTCATGCTAGGCATGTGTGAGTGAGTGCTCAAAATCCCAAGAGGAGGATGGAGAAGAAGGGACTGTGGTGTGGCCATCCCCACATGTGCCCTATAGCAAAAATCTCTCTCTCAAAAAAAAAAAAAAATAGACAGGACCAGCAGTTGGCATAATGGCTTTGTCGCTGGACTCCCATGTGGTCAACCATGGTTCAAGTCCCGGATCCAGTGGTTTAAACTCATGCCAGGCACTTGTGTGTGCATACCCAAGATCCCGAGAGGAGAATGGAGGAAATAGGATTGTGGTGTGGCCATCTCCCCGCCCCCGGGGGGTGATTTCTTGCTTTCTGTCTCTCTGTCTCTCTCTGCCTTTCTGGCAAGTGCACGCGCCCTATAGCAAAAAATAATAATAATAAATAAATAAATAATAATAATAAGTACCGTAACTCCTCTCTCCATAACTCTGGAAACCCTAAAACATTATAAAAATGCAAGGTACTATTGTATTTAAACACCAGTGCAAGTGGCTCTCAGAGCTATGCTCCCCAGGAACTTCACACCACCTCTTACTTTCCTGGCTCCACTCTTATTCTGTGTTGGAGAGAGAGAGAGAGACAGAGACAGTGAGAGGGAAAATGAGAAATCATCCCCCAGGAGGAATGGTCACACCACAGTCCCATCTCCATTCTCCTCCTGGGATCTTGGGCACACACACACACGTACCCAGCATGAGTTTCAAGTCACTGGGTCCAGGATTTGAACCATAGTCAGCCATATGGGAGTCCAGCAACGTAACTGCTACACCATCTCCTGGTCCCTCGTTCTGTTTTTTTTTTTTTTTTTTTTTTTGCTAATTAGTATAGTCTGCCATCTCCATTTCAATCCTTGTACATAGTAAATGGGCTTCATATAATGAATGAATAAATGAATGAATGAACTCAGGGCAGCTGAAGACCGCATACCTCCTTGGAGTTTTCCCTTAAGTTCCATAAGACACAAATTCTGGCTTGTTTTAGAAGACAGATACAGAGATCAGCAGATGGTGTGGTGGTTAAGGCACTGGACATTCCCACATGGCTGACCGCGGTTTGAGTCCCGGATCTGGCAGCTTGCTTTCCCCCTTTCCCTCTTCTCTCTCTCTCTCTCTGGTCAAATTAAATGAATGACGCAATAAACTGAATAAATAAATTTTAAAAAAGAAGACAGATTCAATATCTCACCTGCCAGTTCATGGGGAAGAGGCACTTTATAGGCAAAAAAAAAAAAAATTAATACTTTTAAATGTAGAACTTGCAAAGGGAGAGGACTGTCTTGAAAGCTGACTGCTGAATATGGATACCTGGAAGAACCTCAAAGTGGTTTGGAGGAGTCATGCTCCCAGTTTCCGAAGCTCTCAGCATCCCTGCATAAATGCAGAGTGTCAAGGCTCTCCCAGAGTAAGGGACGGCTTTTCCTGCCTGCCAGGAGGCAGAGCCCGGGCAGGGGAAGACGGCTAGCACACAGCCCCAGTCCACTACTTGGCAACCCAACAGAATGGATTTCACGTAGCTGAGACTACAGCACAGGGAGAGAATACTGCCTGGGAGGTGAGTCTCCAGGTGGTGGCTGACCCGAGGGAGTGAATGCCTCGTCTCCCAAGATCCAGAGGCACTGTGTGCCGGGCACTTGGACACAAAGACCTCACCTCCTGGAGCCCACAGGACTGAGGGAGAGACAGACAATACAGAGGATGAATACATAAATTATACAAGATATTAGAAGTTGGGGAGTGCTATGGAGAGAACCAGCTGGGTAATCCCAGCAAAGGAATAAAAACACAAATCACAGTATTCAAAATAACAGAATGTATATAAGTATTACTCATTACTTAAAAATAAAAGTTTTGAGACCAGCAGATAGTATAATGGTTACATCGCTAGACTCCTGCATAGTCAACCATGGTTCAAATCCTGGTCCTGGGGACTTAAAACTCATGCCAGACATGTCTGCATGCATGCCCAAAATCCCGAGAAGAGAATGGAAGAGAAGGGATTGCGGCGTGGCCATCTCCCTTGGGAGGGATTTCTTGCTTTCTGTCTCTCTGTCTTGCTCTGTCTCTCTGGTGAGTGCACGTGCCCTATAACAAAAAAAATCTTTCTTTAAAATAAAAAAAATTAATAATAATAATAAAAAGTTCCAGCCCAGCTATGGCAGTGGAGGTGATAGGCACTGCTGCGTGAGGCTGGAGCCATATAGGCGGTCTGGGTTTGGATCCCATCTGGGTTTGGATCCCAGACCAACCTGGACAATGGTGTGTGGTCTGCATTCTCAGGCAGCTGCACTGAGCAATCGCCAGTCTTAAGGACTCAGACCTTCCAGAAGTCCTACACGGGGTTCTGGGTGGGAAGGTGGAAAGTGGTACCCGGTTCTGGAAGCTCTCTGTAGGATGCAGACGGGGCAGCACAGCCTAACACCAGACCTGCCCTACCTGAAAGGCTAGAGAAGGCAAATCTGACCATTCACCTCCCTCACCACGACCCTCCCACACACGCCATTGAAATCCTGCATGGGCTTTTGGGGCGGGGGGGGGGTAGGGGTGCCTGCAGGAGGTCCTCTCCTCACCTTGGCACCCTGGTTCTCCAAGTGCAACTGCACCCGCCCCAGACAGCAGCAGCACAGTGACTCCCCACAAACGTACCCCTCCCACTGTGTCCTTCCCTCGGAGCTCTGACCAGGCCTGCCTTCCCACATGCCACCTCCTCTCCCAAGAACTATTTTTGGTCCCCAGCCCCCACTTTAGGCCTCAACTTACAAGACACTTCCCCTGGGGGGGGAATCCTTCAGTGGAGCCCCACTTCCCATTTCTACACTCATCACACTTGCAAAGCTTGTTCCCCTTGAAGCCCCAGTTCCCTAGAGAAGCTCGTCTGGACTGCCTCTGTGGTATCCCCACAGATACTCTTGTTATTCATTTAGTTCTTCTATGCGCAAGAGAGAGCAAGAGAGATGGCACCCCCAACAGGGTCTTGATGCCATACCCTACCTCAAGCCTCAGCCAGTCCCAGATGGAGGGTACTCGTGTGTACTCAGGGAGGTCTTCAGACATAAACCCAGAACCTTCTGTGTGGGTCAGCCTCACAGAACACCATGCTCTACCACTGTGCCACTAAAGCTCTACTCTGCCACCATATGGGTGGACCTCAGCTTTCTGGTCAACCATGCAGGAGTGTGCTGGCCCATCTGCAGGCCCTCCCCACCCCCTCACTCTAAGAACAAGGCAGATGAATGAACATCTGTTCACCTGCTGGACTCTGAGCTAGGAGTTCACAGCGAGGCCATCCGTCAGTTATGCCGTCCAGCATTTATGGATGAGAGGCCTTCTGTCACCCAGAAAGCTCTGGTCAAAGTCATCCAGTGGAAATAAAGGGCCAGAGGAAGCAAAAGCCTAGGATCAGACCCAATGATGGTTCTCCAGGCCAGCCCAGGAAATTCAGGCCAAAGGAAACCCATCTTAGAGTCCATCGCAGCCACTGCCCGAAGGAAGGCTAGGCGGCTACATTTTGCATAAAGAGCCTTGGAATCAAGCAATGATGTACATTTTCCATTTTCTAAGCCATTGTCTGCAAACGTTTGATGGCTGCTGGCCCTGTGAATCCCAGCTTTCAGAGACAGAGGCTCAGAAACTGGCAGCCTAAAACCCACATCTGCCCACAGATATGTGATTTTTGGCAGGCAAGGTTTTAAATTTTTTAAAAAATTAGTTCCAATATTTAAAAACTGGATGGCTTCACATACAAATGCAAATGTCCAGCTTCTCTAGAAAAACAGGCTGAAGATGAGAAGTCCTGGGAAGAAAGGTCCTGCAGGGTCCCTGGGGAGAGAGTGGGCAATGAGAGATCTAGGAGATTCCCGTCTGTGGGTTGGTAGAGTCAGAACTTGAGGCAGGAAAGCCCTCAGAGCCATAGACCCTAAGCAACCAGCCATAGCCCCTGGAGGAGACAGGCTATTCTCTGATGGCCCTATCCTCACACTCGCATAGCCTCGCACCAGAACCCTCACTCACCATTTACATTCTTGGAAATACATAGGCCCAGACTTCATCGATCCACCCAGCGCACACTCCTTCCCCAGCATCCCATCCACTTCCTTATATCAGCCTTCAATGGTGAAAAATACAGCTGACATCAGGAATTAAAGGCTCCCTCCTGCATAGAGTGCACATCTACCCAGGAGAACAATCAGAAGCTTTCTGTGTGGGCTGCTTGCCAACGGCAGGATGCTTTAGGAAGAGATATTGAATAATTGACAATCCATCTGATGTACGTTGTGCTTTTATCACTTCACATCTGCTTATCATTTTACTATGTCCAGAAATGCCGACATGTCAAACTTCAGTGGAAACGTCCTCATAACTTATTCATGAAGGAAAAATAAAAGCATACACAATGACAAACCCTAAATGACATAAGCCGTTATTTCTACTTTAAGTATTGGTCTGCTTAAACAGCTCCACTTAAACATGAAGTGACTCACTCTCTCAGATCATTAACAGTGGGCCAATACAAGGTGCCTAATCTGAAGCTTAGAACTTCCCCCATATCTAATACGCATCAGCTTGTTCAGGCACTTTCAAAAATCTATCAGAAAGACAGTTTACAAGGAAAGAAAACAATGATCAAGGAAGTGATTACGGAATGGAAGGAATACCTGCTTCTTATCTTGTGTTTTCTTAAAATCTTCACAGGCTAGCCAAAACAAAACGTTTTCTTCGCTGAACTCCTTTTTTAAAAATTCCTATTGATAGAAAAGAAAAATAAATCATCCAGTATTCTACTTTAAAAAAGATATGATGTATCTCCCTTCAAGAACCAATCTGGCACAATTCAACAGATGGGCATGGTTCAATTACAGTTTGAAAACCCCACCCTGAAAAACGAGGAGCATGTTTAATGTTAAGGCTAGAATTTCAGATGCATTTGACCTTAATGGCTTTGACATTGTGAGGAAGAGTAAAAATGAAGCAGGCATCCACTCACAATTCTAAGCTGACAATAAATTACCAAAAAGTAAATTAAAGTGGAAGATATATTAGTTCCTTCCAGACAGTGTTTAAACAAAGTACATTCCTCTAAAATCAGGACTATTTTTTTAAAACAAAAGAAAAGAAAACATATTAAGCATGCCTTTAAACATCATGGTGACAACTATTTTTAGCTGGAGGTGTGTTTTCTTTAGGCAGATGGGAGTGGTTAGTAGCATGGTCAGGTGTCCTGCTGTGCCGAGACCTCCTGAGGGGGAGACAATGCTCAGAGTGGCCTGGTGTCCAGGAATGAGGGTCCCTGTCACAGCCTGCCACTGCCTCCTTAGGACCCCAATGGGGACCAACAGCATGAGGACTCATCCAGACCTGACCCAAGGCTTAAAGGCAGAAGTTGCTGAGACTCATTCTGGAAATCCATGTGTGGTCCTCCAAATGGCACCAGGGGGTCTGGCTGGCTGGAAGAGTTCTCTGGACATGGATATGTCCCCAGCCATCAGCCCCCCTGTGAGGTACCTTCACCGAGCTCACACCACAGGCCTCTCTCACGCGGTCAAGGATGCATCCGAGGAACTCCCAGGCACAAGAGAACCAACCTTCACACCAGAGAGACCCAGACCACTCCTCCCAGGTGTCACAGAGCTGGAAGTTCTCCATACAGGCTCCACTGATGGGCCCAGTACCCCTTCCCATCACCCCCACCTCTGCTATACAAAAACCAGAATCAGACTGCACATACATCTCTATGCTGGTCCAGGGCTGTCCCTGGACGTGACAAATGCTAAGTTCTCACTGTTGTGTTGGGATAGATGGTGTTAAAGACTGGCCTGTTTTACCCCCACGGGCATCTAAACTTTGTCACGTGTTGCATCAAATCCCGACTACCAATGAAAAAGGCAAACCCGAAATCTTTTCACGCCTTCGGGGTCTTCCAGCAGATTCTCCAGGGAAGCCGCCCATTTGGCTGTGCTCCTGAGGGTCTGGTGGCTGCTGCTGGAACTGCCATCGCTGTCGTGGATGTCTGCAAAACAAAGTTCAGGCTGAGTTGCGGATCCAAATAGATCGCCGATGTGAAAACAAGCTGCACACAGCAGTCGTCATCACCACCACCGCGTGCCTGACAGACACCAAGTGAGGTCCCCGGCTCTAACCCAAAGGCTTAACACGACAGACTCGTTCTGGTCACAACAGCCCTGCAAGGCAGGTAGCTGCTCCTATTTCCTCTAGTTTACAGATGAGGAAAACGGAGGCTCAGAGTAACACAGAGAGTGGCCATCTCCAGACACATCCTTTCCGCCAACGGAGTGTCCACTGGCCAGTCTCAACTAAACCCTCCTCGCAGAGAAGCGTCACTCAGCAGGCACTGCCTCCCCATCACAGGTTGTGCAGATACGATGACGGCGCCGTGTTGGGGTTATCTGCATGGCCGACTCCCACTAGCCCAGAAACTCCTGCAGACCTTTATCTGGTTCCGCCACACCTAGCTCACTGCCAGACACATAAATAAAAGTAGGTAGCAGGACAGAACAAGGATGAGGATGCAAAATTTAAGAGGCTCTCCAAAATATTCAGGTATCAAGATAAATGATACTGTCATGCATTTTTTTTCCAACCAAAATTAATGCCAAAAAACCCCCACAATGACCAAAATAAGTTGGGGTTTTTTGGTTTTGTTTTGTTTTTCACTATAGGGCGCATATGTTGCTGGAGACAGAGAGAGAGAGAGACAAGAGAGAGTGAGAAATCACTCCCCTGAGGGGATGGCCAGGCTGCAATGCTTTCTCCTCCATTCTCTTCTTTGGATTTTGGGCACACACACATACAGCAGGTTTTTCAAGCTGCCACATCTGGGACTTGAACAGTGCAGTATGCCATGTGGGCTCCAGCTGCCTTCACCACCATGGCACCAGCTGGGCCAGTATTAAGATTTTTAAATGAAGACAGGCTTCGGGGACTGGCATGTGGCGTGGTGGTTCAGGTGCTGGACTCCCACATGGCCAACCATGGTTCAAATACCAGACCTGGCGGCTTGCTTTCTCACTTTTCCTTTCTCTCGCTCTCTCTGTCTCTCTCTGGTCAAATTAAAAATAATAATAATAACATGGGGCCAGCAGGTAGCATGCTGGTCAAGAGCAATGGACTTCAGGAACCAGCAGTTAGCGTAATGGCTATGTCGCTGGACTCCCACGTAGTCGACCGCGGTTCGCGTCCTGGACCTGGTGGCTTAGAACTCCCAACAGGCGCATGTGCATGCGTGTCCAAGATCCCGAGAGGAGAATGGAGGAGAAGGGATTGCGGCGTGACCATTCCCCCTGGGGGGTGATTTCTCGCTTTCTGTCTCTATGTGTCTCTCTGTCTGTCTGGCGAGCACACGCCCTATAGCGAAAAACCTCTCAAAAAAAAACAAAAAAAAAAAAAAGAAGTAGACCCACAAGAGACCAATCCGGACCTAGAGGCTTGCTTTCTCACTTCCTCTCTCTCTCTGTCTCTGGAAATATTAAAATAATAATAATAAAGTTAGCTAAAATAATTATTTGAAAAACAAATAAAATGAAAATAAATAATTCTTAAAAAAAAAAAAAGACAGTCTCCATATTACTCGTTTTTGTCTTAATCTCCAATACGGCTCAACTTCATACTGTTACTTAGCCTGTCTTTATTTCAACTTTTGATATTTTTTTCAGTATGGATTTTTGGTATTAATTTTTATCTCTTAAAACACTGCATTGAATATAATTTATCTTAGCGTTTTTGGCACTCTCTTAAATGTTGTACCCTTGGTGAGGGCCAGCTGAGCCCCACCTCTAGTCCCAGCCCTGTGTGTGCAGTGCACAGGATGGCCACATTTACATACTACCCACTGCACTCTCCGACTCAAGATGCTGACATGCCTCTTGACCAAAAGAAAGGGGACAGAGGAGTTCCAGCCAACACCCAGTGGCCACTTGCCTGAAGGAGGAAGTGACAACACAAACACACCTCACGCTACAGAATCGGAGCCTTTCCTGGAGTCAAGGAGGATCGTGGCATGTAACTTCACGGGGGGCGCAGGTTCAAAACCCAGTTTGGGGTCAGCTCGCTGTTGCAGCGATAACATGCTGCTCAGAAGATGCTGGATCCAGACAAAGACCATGGGTTCGGTTCCCCGGGCTACTGTACATGCCAGGAAGCCATGCCCATGAGCCTGGCTGGCTGGAAAACCAGGGGTAGGAGGGCAGCATAAAATCCTGTTGGGGGTGCTCCTCTCTTATCAGCAAAGAAACAATACAAAAAAGAAAAAAAAAAAAAAAAAACACCCTAGGTTGGCCAGCTCAAACTATAAGACCTTGAGGGAAATTCTTACATATATTTTAAGATCACCCCCTTCCCTCTCTGGTTGTCCTAAGGACTCAAAAAGGAAGCACCTCAGGCACCTGGCAGTACAGTCATCAGCAGCTTCTCAGCAAATGTAAGCGCCTTCCTTCCCTTTCTTACAGCAGCGAGCTATCAGTTGAACTATTTTTATAGCTAATGCTTTTTTCCTTTAGGTTAGAGACAAGTGTCTATAAAAGTAAGGTTCAGGGCCAGCAGGTGGCTTGGTGGTTAAGGCACTGGATTCCCACATGGCCAGCATGATGGTTCAAGTCCCTGACCTAGCAGCTTGAAAACCACAACAAATAAATAAATAAATGTTTGAAATAAAAGTTTGGATCTAGAGGAAAACTTCTTTCAAAAGCTTTATTTTTACATATTTATTCCATGAGTAAGAGAGATAAAGCCCTCAACAGGGTTCTGACTCTGCTACCCATGCCCAGTCTCAGCCGGCTGCCGATCACATACCCAGCCTACTCGGAGGGCGTGCAAACCCAGAACCTCCTTCATGGGTCAGCCACGGTGCATTGCACTTTACCCCTTTGTCACCATTCCGCACAGAAAATACTGCTTTTTTCTTTTTTTTTTTTTAATGCCAGAAGGCACATGATGTCACCAGAAAGACAGAGAGAGGGAGAAAGCATCCCCCCGTGGGGCATGGTCATGTCACAATGTATTCTCCTTTGTCTTGCCATCCTGTCAGGATTATACATGCACACATGCTCCGCCGTGTTTTTCAAGCCACAGAGGCAGGGGTTTGAACTGTGATTAAGCTATATGGGATCTGGCTCCCTTAACCTCTAGCCTACAAGGGCAGTCCCAGAAAATAAACTTTTAATCAAGAAATCAAGAGAAAGCTGATTTTAAAACATACTGAGAGACCAGTGGATGGTGTGATGCTTATGTCGCTGGACTCCCACATGGCCAACCGCAATTTGAGCCCAAACCTGGAGGTTTGAAACTCATGCAGGGCACATGTGCATGCATCCCCAAAATCCAGAGAGGAGAATGGAAGAGAAGGGATTGTGTTGTGGCCATCCTCCCAGAGAGGTTGATTTCTCACTTTCTGTCTCTCTGTACCTCTGTCTCTCCAGTGAGCACATGCCCTATAGCAACAACAACACAACAACAAAACTCTCTAGAGGGAAAAAAAAAAAAGATAGTGAAAGAATTTCTCTTAACGGATCAGTGAAAAGAGTCTTATAAATATTAATTGCTGCAAAAAAAATGAATTGCTGCAAGTAGTTAGGGGGCAGTACAGCTAAAAATATTTTTTGACGAGGGACCAGCAGTTGGTGTAATGGCTATGTCGTTGGACTCCCATGTAGTCAATCACAGTTCGCATCCCGGACCCGGTGGCTTAAAACTCACACTGGGCACGTGGGCGTGCGTGCCCAAGATCCCGAGAGGAGAATGGAGGAGAAGGGATTGCAGCGTGGCCATCCCCCCTGGGGGGTGATTTCTCACTTTCTGTCTTTCTGTCTCTGTCTGTCTGGCAAGCACACGTGCCCTATAGCAAAAACCTCTCAAACAAACAAATGAAAAGAAAAAAAAAAAACTACTTAAAATATTTTTTGACGAAATGCACAACAGAACACACTGGACTTAATAATAACAGCATCTATGATCTTCTATACTCTCTTAGGGGTCAAAACACACATGACTTTCTTAATGGGCTGAGACCCCACATCCCCACACCTAGGCAAACTACCTGGATTTTAGACATTCACTGTCTGACTTGAGTAAAAGAAAATAAAGTCGAAGCCAGGAGCCCAGCAGGGGCTGTGCTTCAATACTGGATGGGGACGGAGTGCATAAGAAACTTATTTGGGACAGATCCACTCCTCTAACAGAGACGCATACTCACTAGATCACATCACAAATGGATCTGATGCTTCTTTAAAGTGACTCTTCAGTGCACGGATATGAAATCAGTTGCGGCCCTCTGTGTAAATGCTGGAATGGCAAGCTCCTGAACACCAAGTGTAAATCCAATTAAGAGATCATTATTCCAAGACATTTCTGCAGCAGGGTTGACTCTGCCAAGCATTCCACTAATTTACTCTTCTGTTCTTTACCCAGAGAACATCGTTTGACAGTTTCCTCCATTTCCCCAGCAGATCTTCCCATAAGTAAATAAATACAGAGACTCAGTTCTCTGTTCCAGAAACAATCTCGGGCAGCCACAAATTTCTCTTGCCATTGCAGAACAACTACGCTGGCTGCTATAAGTTCTCAATGTTGGTCTGAAAGGATTCCAGAACTCATTTTTTTTTTTTTTTTTAGAGGTTGCTGCCATAGGGCGCGTGCGCTCGCCAGACAGACAGAGAGAGACAGAGAGATAGAAAGCGAGAAATCACCCCCCAGGGAGGATGGCCACGCCGCAATCCCTTCTCCTCCACTCTCCTCTTGGGATCTTGGGCACGCATGCCCACACGCCCGGCGTGAGTTTAAGCCACCAGGGACTCGAACCTCGGTTGACTACGTGGGAGTCCAGCGACATGGCCATTACGCTAGTTGCTAATCCCAGGATTCCAGAACTCTTGACATTCTTTTCTTTTTTTAATTTAACTTTATTTATTTATTTATTTATTTTAATTTGACCAGAGAGAGAGGGAACGTGAGAAAGCAAGCCGTCAGGTCTGGGACTTGAACCACAGTTGGCCATCT